ACATTTTTTATCAGGATGTGAGGGGTTGGGGGGTGGAAGGCACTTGAAACTGTCGAGGAAGGCGCGCTAAAACCATATCGGGGGTGAAGTGTGTTGACATTAGGTAAAATATATATTTACATTATCATTTTTTTTTCTTTTATTTTTTTTTTCATGGGGGGGGGTTGCCTACTCCATTTACTGGTTCATTCTTTAGAGAAAAGTGTGCCCAGAGGTGTAGCGACCCTTCCCGGCGCCCGGGGACAAACTTTTCGATTTGCACCCCCACCCTCAAGATTTTGATTTGCACCCCCCCTCAAACTTTCGATTTGCACCCCCCCCCCCCTCAAGATTTCTATTTGCACCCCCCTCAACCTTTCAATTTATTTTGCCAACCCATTTAGGCGCCCCCTAAGGTCGGCGCCCGGGAACATATGTCCCCCCCCCCCTCGCTACGCTACTGCGTGTGCCACAATCAAAGATGCCGATCAGAAATTTATGACAATGGATGCATGTGCAGAATTATTGTCCCGTAGTTTCGTCATAGCCACAAAATAGTTCCCTTTTAAACCTGACGGTCTATATGGCAAGTGAAGTAGAGTTCACCTGTTTCTTTGACCTCTGCATATGAAAAGATATTGTGGTAATTGCTATGCCCAGCTGCCTTTGCTTACCCTAACGTGAGCTATGTAGGCTACCTATCGGATGTGGAGGGAACCAGGTAAGGTGTATTGACCTGAATCCGGATTCAAACTTGAGACAAGGGTTAGCAGTCTAGGTCTCTACCGCTAGTCTACTTCGCCCCATAAAATGTTCACACCTTAAAAATGTTTACAAAATGTTCACATTAATTCCAAGTGTCTTCTTCTTCTTCGTTCTGAATTTTAGTGTAATTGACTCCGATCTCAGCTTGCTTTTATTTTTGGAGTTGCTTCAATAGCATTTGTCCAACCAAGAGCAAACTACAAGACAGCAGTTGTTTGTTTTTGAAGTTGCCTCTCCTAGAAGAGTGGTTGTCCCCAGCTAACGAGCCTCATCTGCCCGAGGGTTCGAACTCTAGTCCCGTCGGTTTAGCAGCTATTAGTTTAACCGACTCGACCACGCCGACTCTAAGTGTAAAATCATGCAATAATTAAACTCCATTTTATCACTAACCAATCCTAATTTTACGTACAGAATTTACACAGCTAGTTAGATAATTTAATTAAAGAAAATAAAACACACAGTGATTTAAAGAAATAAAGTGATACCATTTTAATATGTACGTTAAGCAAATATATTACACCTTGCTATCTTTAAACATATTTAAAATATATTATTTTCAAATATTGAGAACAAAATATTTAAGATACAAATAAGAGTTTCTTTAAATAAAATAAATAAATGAGTTCGAATAAAATCAAATGTCATAGTATGTTTATTAGGCTAATATTTTACAGCCTCCTTGCTTTTAATTGATTTTTTAGAACATTCAGTTTTGGTAGGAAAATATGTATAACAGAAAAAAATAGTGTCGTAAAAAAAAAGAATGAAATACAATGGATTCTAATTAAATAAAATGCGTTAATTCGTTCTTTATATGAAACTCCCCACCAATAACGTTGAAGCAGATGCTATTCACTATTCAGACTGTAGAGCTGTATTCGTCTCGGTACCTCGCTGTACTAATCACTGATTCAGTGTAGAGCTTCATTGCCTCATACACTGCTGTATACTGTTGCTGTGGGAACATATTTACTATATACATATATATATATATATATATATATATATATATATATATATATATATATATATATATATATATATATATATATATATATATATATATATACACACACATATATATATATATATATATATATATACATATATATATATATATATATACACACATATATATATATATATATACACACACATATATATATATATATACACACACACATATATATATATATATATATATATATATATATATATATATATATATATATATATATATATATATATATATATATGTATATATATATATATATGTATATATATATATATATATATATATATATATATATATATATATATATATATATATACTAGCTGCATCCCGTGCTCCGCCACGGTAAATCTTTTTTAAATGTACCAACAGAACAAAACTAAACACAACACAAACGAATGCAACAGAAATATTTTTTTGAATCAATTTAACTTTTTTTTAAATTATAATTTAAGTCTCAGAAAATTGTTTGCAAATGATTTGTTTTTTTTTTTTTGTTTTTTTTTTTTTTTACTATACGGAAAATACGATTTAAAATAAATGTCCCGGACTTACAAGTGTTGGGATGACTTGAGGTCGGATTGATTTGACTTTACCAACAACAAAAGGAATGGACATATAGTTCTCTCGGTCCAGTTGGTCTATGAGAGTTGTCAGAACGTAGGCAAAGCCACTCCGTTCGGCGCCATTTCTGAAGTAAACAATTTGAAAACACAAATCAAAGGTGAAAAAATAACCCGATGTTATATAAGGAGGGGAGCGACGCTTCAACCTATAACAAATCTTTAAAAAAGTGATGGTCTCGTCTATGACTTAATTACCAATCAGATGAAGAAGAGTTCATTATTTTCTTAAAATCGGTATTCGCAGGAATGGTGTGAGAAACACTATGGATGAGGGAAAGGTGGGGGGGGAATAGCCAAACTGAGCTTGAATGACTCTGGGACGGCAAGCAGCCTAAAGATGGATCGATCGCTCTACCGTTCGACCACGTCGTTCCAACTACAACAAGGACATGCATGTAGAATTACTTTTATGAAGAAACACATTTACAACGTGCATGTATGTAAAATGTGTTCACACTTTTTACTTTCTCGTATATACGAAGTATAGAGAAAGTCTTGTAATCGTGCAAAAAACAAATCGAGATGTTTGCAAATCTCGAAGTTTTAGGGCTCCCTGAGTCGGAAAAGCATAGTTTTGCAATCTTGTCCGTATATCTGTTTGTATGTGTGTCTGTGTGTGTGTGTGTGTGTGTGTGTGTGTGTGTGTGTGTGTGTGTGTGTAAACACGACAACTTAAGTACCGTTACAAATAGGTTGATAAAATTTCTTATAAAAGTTTTATATCAAAATCGTAGATCCTTATCAACGTTTGGGCGATTTTCGATAACCGGAAGTGGAACCTTTTCTACTTTGAATTTTTCAAAAGCCTATAACTTGAGTACTATTTTAGATAGATGAATGAAAAAATTTCACATGTAAGTAAAAGTTTCAATTATCTGTCATGTACAAAAGTTTGAGTAATTTCCGTTGACCGGAAGTAGTAATTTACGCTATTTCCGATTTCTCAAAAAAAAACGCATGTGAATTTATAAAGTTCTAATGATATCCCGCACTATTATGCACGTGTTATTTGGCGTTCACTTGGTGTGCAATTCTTTTTACGAGATTCTTTTCTATTATAAAAAGTTTAACTTATTAAAATTGGATTTAAAATATTGTCTATGTCCCGAGTTACCATCACCCGTTATGTTATATTAGAATATTCGAGAAAGTTTAGGGGAGATCACTCCCAGTTTATTTGTTAATAACGTTTGAAACCTATCCTACGTGCATATTTGTCAGTGTGGGCACATGTTGGCTATAAATAACGCAACTCATATCCGACACACTTGCCTGCACGTGTAAACCACCGCCTCGGTCGGATCTCTCAATGTTCGGGCGCGTTGAATAAACGGTAGGATATATTTGAGCTCCATTTCCGTTTCTGTGTACTTGAGATGCGTCACATGGCTCGTTTGTTTGCCCTAAGATCAGGAGAAAAATTATAGTGTTGAAATATTTTGTTAAAACTACAATGTTCTTTTTTTTACAGTGTTCACAACATAAACAAAAATACGCATACACATACATACACTAAACACATAAAAACGCGCACTGATACACACATACAATTTAAATTTATATATATATATATATATATATATATATATATATATATATATATATATATATATATATATATATATATATATATATATATATATATATATATATATAAATGCATACATACATATATAAATACATACATATATATATATATATATATATATATATATATATATATATATATATATATATATATATATATATATATATATATATATACGGTTGCTTTTTCCATTTCATATCATGTATTTCAAAGATTCAATGTGTTCGATACATAGTTATCTTTTATATGTACGTGATCTATTAGCGTTGAATTGGTTTTATTTACCTTAACGGTGAGTTTCGTTTCTTTCCACGTTGGTGTTTGAGCTACTGAGTCTACAGTAACAGCTATGTTTCCACATTGTAACGGTTCATTTTTTTGTTGAGGGAAATAGGCAGCTAAGGACTACAAAAAAAAAACAATTTCTGATTTTGGTAAATTGTGTGAGATTATTAAAACAACGATTAGGACCGTCATATTTCTTTACCACATTTTCTATTTCGCATCACTTTGGGGGGTTGGTGGGATGGGAGGGGGGAGTACCATCCTTCCCCGTCTCGAAAATTGAAGTACGCCCATTTCCTAAAAGCAGTGGCGTAGCGAAGTCGGGTGTCATCCGGTGCGGCACTTAATGGTGTCAACCTCCCCCCCCCCCCCGAGGCGTAGCGACCCTTCCCGGGGACAAACTTTCAAATTTTCGATTTGCCCCCCCCCCCCCCCTCTCAAATTTTCGATTTTGCAACCCCCCTCCCCCCCCCCCTCAAACTTTTGATTTGCACCCCCCTCGAAATTTCGATTTGCACCCCCCCCCCCCTCAAGTTTTTCTCTATATATTTTGCTATTTTTTGCCTTGGTGTCACCCCCCTAAAATGGTGTCACCCGGTGCGGTCCGCGACCCCCGCCCCCCCCCCCCCCCCCTCGTTACGCCTCTGCCTAAAAGTCTGCCCACTCTCTCTCCATTGTAATATGTCTGAAAATAACACAGTACTTAACCCAACATAAAAAAGAGCTGTTGAGGGACTACAGTACACTACACACCTACCTTGTCCTTTTCATAGGATTTGAAAGCAACAATCAAGGAGACGTTATACTGTGTGACCAGTCTCCAGAAATCATTGACCGTAGTGGGCATGGGCAGCTGGGTCAGAAACTGTTTAGGCTGAGTAATCAGACTCTGGTTTCATAAGATACACGTCATTTTAGTTCAGTAATAAGGAATTATATGGCATGATTAAAAATAGAGACATAACTCATTGACATACTGATAAAAATTGTGCAAATCGACAGGTTGTTAAAAACTAAGTTAGGCTTTGTCTTACATATTAAATTATATTTCTTTTTCTACGATAAAAACAGAAACTAAATTCGAGAATATTAAAGTTTAGATAAAATTCAGAATATTCAGGCTTTCTTTTTTAATTTAGGACATATCTTATACACACATACATATTTAATTATATATATATATATATATATATATATATATATATATATATATATATATATATATATATATATATAAAAGTATATATATATATATATATATAGTATATATATATATATAAAAGTATATATATATATATATATATATATATATATATATATATATATATATATATATATAAAAGTATATATATATATATATATATATATATATATATATATATATATATATATATATATAAAAGTATATATATATATATATATATATATATATATATATATAAAAGTATATATATATATATATATATATAAATATATATATATATATATATATATAAAAGTATATATATATATATATATATAAAAGTATATATATATATATATATATATATATATATAAAAGTATATATATATATATATATATATATATATATATATATATATATATATATATATATATATATATATATATATATATATATATATATATATATATATATATATATATATATTGGATTTGATTGGTAAAAAACTAAAAACAAAAAATTAAAAAAAATGTAATTAATAATTTTTAACAAACCATTTAACAAATCACTCCTATAAAATATTCTGATATATTATTCTTTTTAAATAATATAAAAATACATTATAATATCCAACCATTTAAAAATTAATTGAAAAAAAAAACCAGTCATACAGGCAATATGACGGCATTGATATAGGCCGTTTCTTCGCGAGATTCGACTTGTAAAACAGGCTGGTACTTTTTATCTGAATAATGCATAGATGAGTTGAATATAAATTATTATATTGTAAAACTTGTAGTATAAATTTAGACTTGGTTTTCTTTGGCCTGGTGAAGTAGAGTGTACTAATTAAATGAATGAAGACTTGGAATTAATGTGAACATTCGGTAGTCATAATAAAGTTACAGTTGAGCCATCCTAAACATGTATTCATGGTCATAATTTTGTTATTGGCATCCGTTCTTAATCTATTCGTATTAATAAATCAAGTAAAAATAATAACTACATGGTGCAAAACTTCCAAACGTTTTAAAGTACAATTTTTGTGTCCACGAGTAAAAGTAATTGTAACTTTACATTTTGACATTTGTTTTTAATAATTGATTGTGCGCTTGAAAGGTTTTTAATTTACCAACGTGGGCCGGTAACCTGGTATGATAAAGTACATTACACTGTAGAATAGCAAAAGACAATATTTTAAAGATTCGAAAATAAATGCGGAGATCAATACGACATACCTAGAGGATACCTACAATGACAATTAAAAGAAAATAATCAAGAAGAAGAGATAAACCCAAAAATACTTATTGTAGAGAAATTGGAAAAAAACAGTACAATACTTTGGAAAATTTGTGAAGCTCATAAAAGAGAAATATATAAGAAAGTTTTATATGACTTTTGCTCCACTTTGAGTGTTAAAAATCGAAGTAAATTTAGCCATCAGCAAAGTCCAGAGATTTCTACTATCACTAATGTTATATACAATGCAGCAACTTTATGTCACTGCTGCATAATTATATCGGAAATATTGATTTTTATTCAAATGATACTCGTCGTTGTTGATAAATATTTGCCATATGTATCTTTCGATTTACCTGTTAGAATATTGAATTATCTTTAGTATTTTAGTACATTGATATAATAAATAGTTGATACCCGTGTAGAGTGTTGAAATCTATATTTGCACTAACCAATTTTTTTTTTAAATTTATCGTTATTAGTGTTGTTCACTACTTGAACAAAATTTACTATAACCAGATAGAATGTAGAAACAATCGTAATCTTTTTGTACACAAACCTGGTATAATGTTGAATCTATCTTTACTTTTGGGATCTTGAGTAACGTCTCCATCACCGGCAGTAAACTTAATTTCCACACTAAACAGATTCTGAAATAATTGAATATTGTATTGTCATCTGAAACAAAGCTTTCCTGAAAATTTCAGCGCGCTAGCTAACTGGGAAGTGCCCGAAATTTCGATCGCAAGATTTGATGGGAAAACAGACGCGAAAGCAAGTTAAAGAAAACGTGGGAAAAATAAGCATTTGTCTTCAAAAACGTGTTGTCAATTCACACTTAAACAATGTTTAGCTGATCATCGTTAAAGTTTGGGTGGCTGACCCAAAAGTTCCAACCCAAGGCAAATAAGTCAGAAACCCAGCAAGAAAAAAAAATCAGAAATCAATCATAAATAGAGCATCGTAGGCGACAGGACTACAAACTCTGGTTTTTATTTTTGCTGCTTCCAAATCTGAACAGCCACGAAACTTAATGCATAACAATCCTTTGAAATACAAATTATACAATTTTATTCCGGATATCAGAGAATGTAATTTGTCAAACAAGAGTCAAAAGAATTCATACCCCAGCATTATGCGAGCAGTTGGTTTATAATTAGGAAAATTAATGTTGTTTACCAAAGCTTTTTACTATGAAAACGGCAAAGAGATTCAGCTAATAAATACGTTACTTTGAATTCAGTTTCAAAATTAGTTTTCCCGTTGACAACGCTCCCCATGAGATGTACTTTGAGAAAGATGGCGCTGATGTGTGTGTAGCTGCCTGTACAGGCGATGCCAGCCTGCGCGGCGTGGTGCAGGAACATATACTGCTCCTGGAAAACACAGGTTTACATAATTTATTAGTCACTCTCTCTCTCTCTCTCTCTCTCTCTCTCTCTCTCTCTCTCTCTCTCTCTCTCTCTCTCTCTCTTCCTCTCTCCCTTTCTATGTGGCCTGGTGCAGGAACATGTACTGCTCCTGGAAAACACAGGTTTACATAATTTATTAGTCACTCTTTCTCTCTCTCTCTCTCTCTCTCTCTCTCTCTCTCTCTCTCCCTTTCTATGTGGCCTGGTGCAGGAACATGTACTGCTCCTGGAAACCACATCTTTAGTTAACTTCTTTTTCCTACACCACTCTCAAGATTCTATCAAGCTGTTTTTTAGTTGGTTTATTTATATAGCCTCCTCCCACTGTGCATTGAGAACAAAAAACTACAAGAAAATTATAACAAACTTCGAAATCAAATAAGTGAATCAGTTCTAACCGAGGTAGAAAAGATTACATGTAAATGTAATATTTCACTAAATATTTTTAATACTTTTTGTAAGATGAAAAAAAAAATCTTGTAAAACAAACATGTATGTTTAAAACACTTTTGTGGAATGATAGTTAACAATGTCTTTTTATTTGACATGTCAGTAATATTTTTAAAATGTATATGTCAACGTTTTATTTCCCTCGAAAAAATGTATTTGTTAATGTTTTAGTTCACTCGAAAAAAAATGTATTTGTTAATGTTTTAGTTCACTCGAAAAAAAATGTATTTGTTAACGTTTTATTTCACTCGAAAAAAATGTATTTGTTAACGTTGTATTTCACTCAAAAATGTATTTGTTAACTTTTTATTTCACTCGAAAAAATGTATTTGTTAAAGTTTTATTTCACTGAAAAAATGGATTTGTTAACGTTTTATTTCACTCGAAAAAAATGTATTTGTTAAAGTTTTTTTTTCACTCGAAAAAAATGTATTTGTTAACGTTTTATTTCACTCGAAAAAAAATGTATTTGTTAACGTTTTATTTCACTCAAACAAAAAAATGTATTTGTTAACGTTTTATTTCACTCGAAAAAAAATGCAATTTGTTAATATCAATTTAGATCTAGTACTTCTAATTTTACTATATCTGGGTGGGTCAATATAAAAACGTATGATTTACGACTAAAACTGGATACAGTCGACAGCTTCTGAAGTGTAGGCTAATATCGTTTTAGCATAATGTGGAATCTAATATAATTTTTGAAATGGTCAAATAAATTGTCAAATATAAATTGGTCAAATGTAAAACTGAATGATTTTTTAGAAAATAAACTGCATACGTATTGTTAGATATATTTTTTATAAGATTTCATGTTTTGTCAAAGAAAATAAAACTACTTGCATTTTTTTTTCATTATTAAAAATAATTGATTTTATTTAAGACTGGAGAGCAAGTCATAAAACAATGCATTAATTTTAAAAAATCCAGGTAGTAATTTTAATTTTAAAAATTAAATTCAAAAAATTGTGATTAAAAACATTTTCATTTTGTAATATTGAAAGTAAAACCTAGAAATGTTTTTTTTTTAAAGGGAGTTAGAGCAGTAGCGTAGCGAGGGGGGGGGGGGGGGCGGGGGGGGACATATGTCCCCGGGCGCCGAGCTTAGGGGGCGCCAAAATGGGTTGGAAAAATAAATTGAAAGGTTGAGGGGGGTGCAAATTGAAAGTTTGAGGGGGGTGCAAATCAAAATCTCGAGGGGGAGTTGCAAATCGAAAGTTTGGGGGGGGGGGGTGCATATCAAAATCTCGAGGGGGGGGGTTGCAAATCGAAAGTTTGAGGGGGGGGGTGCAAATCAAAATCTCGAGGTGGGGGTGCAAATCGAAAAGTTTGTCCTCGGGCGCCGGGAAGGGTCGCTACGCCTCTGAGGTAGAGTGGTGGACTTACGAAGCTGGCAACCATATTGGGCCTATCTTGTCTGAGTCTAGATACAGTTTCAACAAAGTCCACCGAATGGTTCAGTTTGGCTTGCCGGATCAAATCGTGCAGTGCTATAAAAAGTGAGCTCCTGTTAACACTACTCCTGTTAGGTAAACATAAGGCGTAAACTGTAACATTTGTTGCCTATATATCGGAAAGTATAATTAAAAAGAGTAGTACAGAGTTGCTGGCATTTTTTTTCTAAGAATAACAAGTTTAATATATCATATGTGACCTAGTGATTACTTCCCACTGTGTAACTGGACATTTTCACATAATATGTTAACAGCTCTATAAAGCCATTTTTAATAATTAGGCTACAATACTAATCTAGTCAGTTAACAGTTTCTGAAAATAACACAAAATGTGTCTACCAATGAAACTAAAAGTAGCAATATTTATTTATTTAGAAATTCAGTTATTTTTTGTTATCTATGTATTAAAGCTTACAGCTTACTAACAATAAATATAATTATTTAAACGATTTATTTGGTCTCAGTTAATTCACTTGTATTCAAAAAAAAATTCATTCAGAGCTTACTGGCAGTGTACAAGCGTGACTTCTTCCAGTGTGTTGAGGAAAACCTTGTGTTCAAATTCAACCAAACTCCACAAACACGGGTCAGACCCGTCTTCCGGCCAGGCCGTGTACTGGAAGTGGGTCAACTGACGTGGTGGGTTGTCGTCCTTGTCGTTGGGAAAAAAATAACAGGCATTATATTGATAGATGGTAGAAAAAAACTCGAGTCTCTATTTTAAGCTTTTATGTATTTCACAATACATGTTCTTGTTTTTTTGTTTTTTTTTTGGTTAGTGGTATACGGCAAATATAACTTAATTCTGAATGGGCCAAATCTTGTACATATTTACATAATATTATGACTCATTTGAATATTATTATAAAAATTTGTTTTATTTACACATCATATGTCATTAAATATTTTTAACTTTCATACCCTTATATAAAAATAACCTTAAAATTACTTTTATAATGTCCAAAGTGCGTATTGTATAATCTGTAAAAACTTCTGTTTTCACAGTCTTCAGTGTATAGCAATCAATTTTTTTATTCTTATGTGACCAGTAGCTGTCTTCATTCTGAAATCCACGTTTCGATAAACACATTTAAAATTTTAACTTGTCTTAAAAAGAGCGAAATACATTATATAAACAACAAAGCTATTACAAAATAGTTTCCCAAAATCCTATGTACCGTAACATATTTTACTATGGAGACATTACCAAAAGTTCCTACTATTGTCTAAACACATTTCATATTGTTAACAAAAGGAATAAATTACACATTAAATATGATAATAGTTCTATAGAGCTGATTGTTGTGTTTTTGCAACCTACATCTGTTTTCTCTGTGCTAATCATGGCAATTTTTACAACTTCTTTGTCCCATAGCAGATTGAGAAAGCCAACCGTAGTCTCAGCAACCGGATCTACGAGAAGATGTGACATTATTTGTCATTACATACATGTGGAATAATTTACACTAACTAAGCACATTAGAAAGATATGAATTAATTTCATTTTCATAAAGAGCTTCTAAAACAAGCTGAATTTATTTCAGAGCAAAAGGTGGTAATACATACCATCATAAAAATGGTTTAGATATACCTTAATATTTTGAAAAAACCTCCGTTATACGTTTTAACAGAATAATACAATATGTAAAAATGTCATAAAATTACCTTGTGTGGCTATTAGTTTTTCTTTTGATAGCTTAAAAAATAGAATCATTCAATTTCATTAAATAACAGTGTAGGAATATTTAGATTTTTATTTAACTTTAAATCCTAAAATTATTTGATTAATCTGTGCATATTAGCAGTGTACATATGACTGCTGGATAAACGTAAGTACTAATATGGATACCTGCCGTAAGTTGCAAGGTCACCGAAACAAGAGAACTCTATTTCTCCTGCCCCATGATTCGAAAAAGGCCATTACTTTTTGTATAGAAATAAGTGTTCGATTAAGACCAGAAATTAAGTGGAGAGCGACATTAGCCCTAGACCAGTGGTTCCCAAACTTTTTTCGAGTGGCGACCCCCCCTTTTATAAAAAGTAAGTGACCCGCGACCCCCATAGAATTAAAAAGCCAAAATTAGTAATGGAATTTATACACACTAAAAAAAGATTTTTTCGTAGACGTTCAATATGAACTACCCTTGATAACTGTTTTAATACCATGAGTAAAATTGCATACTATTTCTGAACATTCGCCTTTAAGTTTTTGTTAACGCAAACCTATTTCATTATCAACATTCAATTTTTTTTTAATTTTGTGTTTAATCGGAGAATAGTGTTGAAAATCTATTCGCGAAAAGTCAATCAATTTACGTTTGGGTATGAATGTTGAATGCTACACCAAAATTGTGTGTGCGGTTTTTCATCTTACGCGGAATCATTCTGTAAATCAAACAATGCATCTTGTAATTCGTAGGGAATGCAGGCAACATCAAGGGAAGAAGAGAATGGGTAATGCGACAATGCAGATTCTTCTTTTTTTCAGTTCAGAGAAATAGCGTTGCAGTTCGTTTTCAAGTTAAGATGCCCAGAAATCGCTTCTTTCAAAATTTTAATTATCTCACAATCAGATTCATCTACCACAATGCAGAGTTTTTCAAACGTGGCAATATTTCCAAGATTTATTTTCTTCGCCAATTTTGCAGCTTTGATAAAAAAGCCCCGAGATTATTATGGAAAGTGATAATATTCGTTCATTTTCCCTGAAGTTTAGGTTAAGCTTATGTTGATGTCGAATACATCTGCTAGGTATGATACTCTCTCCAACCAATCTATGTCGTTTTAAGTATACCAAAAGGTCTTGTTTCATTTGCACTTCCAAGAACAATTTGATTTCAGATTTCAATTCAAAAACACATTTCACTACATTTCGTTTGAAAACCAGCCCACTGTAGTGAAGAAAAGCAGAACCTCGTGATCTATTTTGACCTAAACATAGATAGCGCACCATCCGTACAAACCCCCACAGCCGTTTTGACCCATTTTAATCATCCAGTTTCGAAAAACGTATTTATTTTTTCCATGCTATCTTCACAAAATAGCAACTCTTCTTTACTTTCATCTGAATGAATATAGGCAAAGACCAACAACTGCGAACACGAACTAACGTCTGTTGATTCATCAACTTGAAAAGTAAACAATGGTGAAAGTTTGATTTCATTCAAAATTCGCTTTTCAACATCTACGTACGTCTGCTATATTCTGCTGAATATTATTATTATGGAGAGATTTGTTGCATCTTTACTGCACTGGAATCCCCAAAGAAATAACTTCACCATCTTTAACATGCAGCGTTTGATGAGATTTTCTCCTATTGTGTTTTTTTTTTTTTTTTTTTTTTTTGCATTTTCTATAGTGACTTTATTTGATGCTTGCACTAATGCTGTGCTTCCTTGGTCGCGACCCCAGTTTGGGAACCTCTGCTCTAGACGATACACATGGCCGAATTTACTGTTCACGAGTGTTTTAGCACCGATTAGCTTAAAATTAACGTTAATCCGGCCATCTGTATCACCGGACTGATTTACTGACTGTTGCTACTTCATCTTGTTTTATAAAAACTGTTTTTAGACTATAGTAGACTCAGAGGCGCAGCGAGGGGGGGGGGGGCGGATCGCACCGGGTGACACCATTTAGGGGGGTGACACCAAGGAAAAAAAAGAGCAAAATATATAGAGAAAAACTTGAGGGGGGTGCAAATCGAAAACTTGAGGGGGTGCAAATCGAAAGTTTGATGAGGGGGGGGGGGGGTGCAAATCGAAAATTTGTCCCCGGGAGGGGTCGCTACGCCTCTAGGGGGTGACACCATTAAGTGCCGCACCGGGTGACACCCGACCTCGCTACGCCACTGAGTAGACTTGAAGGTAAAATGTTAACCATTTAATATCTAATTAGATTTGAAAAAATAGAAACTCTTGCATTTTTATCGGGAATGAAATTCTTTGGAATGTTTAAACAAAGGTCATAATTCTGTACACAATCTAAACAAAAAAAAAATAATTAATTAAAAAATAATAATAATCCGCAGATTCAACAAACGAAAAAAATAAAAAATCTATAAAGTAAAAATCTCCGGCCTCACCGCCAGAAATGAAGGGGTGAAGAAATTGGCTGGCCTTTGCGGTGGCCAAGGTGTGACTCTGATGAAAGAATGGTCATCTGGGGAGGGAAACCAATGTTCAGTGGGAATCAAACGTGTGTTCAAATAAACACATACAAATGTATGGGAAATGTAGTTGTTAAATCTTGATTGTTAATACAGTTTATTCAACGTATTTTATATTACATATTAAAATAAAATAACAATGGAAAATGGTGCAATGGAGAAAAAAAATTATGACACACCGGCTACACCTTAGTGACACCCTCGTACACTCCAGTCACACTAAGCTATATTTAAGTCACTCTACACAACACTTCAGTCACACTAGGCTATACTTTTTATACCCTGTTACATTTCTGTCTTATAATGCTTTAATTGTTAAAAGTATAAAACACCATAATTTTTATATTATTTTTTACAAAATCCCACTTAGACCCAGCAACATTCACGTGCTAACGTTATGTTTTACCCACTAACACACTTAAGCTTATTTCCCCACAAACATTTCATTCATAACACGGTGACGATCGTATAAGAAACCAACGACTTACAAGTGGCCGCCGTGTCTTTTTTCTCAGTTTTTTCACCTATATACACAGTTGGTATAGACTGTAAAAAATAAATTTTTAAAATCAAACACATGCGTATTTTTTGTACTCAACTATTTACATTATAAATCAATAGACAATAACATTCAAATTAAAAAAAAATGTTATGACTACCTTGAACTGGGTGAGAAAAAAATTCGTGTTGTGTCCCATTATGTGGGTCTTTAGCTGTGAGATGGGTACTGACGTCGACACCACGGGCTTTTCAACTGGAGCTACAGCAAACATAGACATATAAAACAACTGGAGCTACATCAAACATAGACATATAAAACAACTGGAGCTACATCAAACATAGACATATAAAACAACTGGAGCTACATCAAACATAGACATATAAAACAACTGGAGCTACATCAAACATAGACATATAAAACAACTGGAGCTACATCAAACATAGACATATAAAACAACTGGAGCTACATCAAACATAGACATATAAAACAACTGGAGCTACATCAAACATAGACATATAAAACAACTGGAGCTACATCAAACATAGACATATAAAACAACTGGAGCTACATCAAACATAGACATATAAAACAACTGGAGCTACATCAAACATAGACATATAAAAAAACTGGAGCTACATCAAACATAGACATATAAAACAACTGGAGCTACATCAAACATAGACATATAAAACAAGTGACGTTTGCCTTTTCAACTGGAGCTACAGCAAACATAGACATATAAAACAAGTGACGTTTGCCTTTTCAACTGGAGCTACAGCAAACATAGACATATAAAACAAGTGACGTTTGCCTTTACAACTGGAGCTACATCAAACATAGACATATAAAACAAGTGACGTTTGCCTTTTCAACTGGAGCTACAGCAAACATAGACATATAAAACAAGTGACGTTTGCCTTTTCAACTGGAGCTACATCAAACATAGACATATAAAACAAGTGACGTTTGCCTTTTCAACTGGAGCTACAGCAAACATAGACATATAAAACAAGTGACGTTTGCCTTTTCAACTGGAGCTACATCAAACATAGACATATAAAACAAGTGACGTTTGCCTTTTCAACTGAAGCTACATCAAACATAGACATATAAAACAAGTGACGTTTGCCTTTTCAACTGGAGCTACATCAAACATAGACATATAAAACAAGTGACGTTTGCCTTTTCAACTGGAGCTACATCAAACATAGACATATAAAACAAGTGACGTTTGCACCAAGGCAGGTTTCTCGCATGGACGTGTAGCGAATGCAACAAATATAGAAAAGAACACACATATATAGAATGCAATCTATTATATATATATATATATATATATATATATATATATATATATATATATATATATATATATATATATATATATATTTTAGAAGATGCCTGGACTCTCCTTAAGATTGAGTGTTTGTGCGAATGTGTTGTGCGTGCGTGTATGTGTGTAAGCGTGCGTGCGTGAGTTTGTTTAGTAGCAGTAAAAATTAAACTGATGAAAAAATACTATTGGAAAGAGATCAGGGGATAAAACAAAAGAAAAACAAATTATATTTACCAGCGTAAGGCTCTGTCTGGATTTGCTTCATTTTTCTGTTTAAAAAATGTGAAAAATATGATTTGGATTAACCTTTGTAATGACATATTTAATATTTTTATCATTTTTTTTCCAATTGCTATAGCAATTGTATTGGAATAGAACATATTTATTCTTTATTAAAATATTACTTAACACGACAAACCTTAATAGGAAAATAATGATGATGACGATGAGAATAATTATGATGGGCACTGCAAACAGCAAATACATTCCAAGATCAGATTTTTCTTCTTCATCTGCAGATGTATTAGATATTTATTTATTTTAATAGTGTATACAATTTTCTTTTTAATAATATACGATTGGGCATACAAAATTATAATTAAACTTATAGAGAATAAACAAAGGAAGATAAAATATACACACAAATAAACTGTTAACCAAACTCCTTTGTGTGAGTTGTACTAGTAATGGTGTCACCTTGTTTAAGATAGAGTGAAAATACTATCAGTTTTATTGTTGTCCAAAACCCTCATTGGGGTCAATGCGGTACAACTGTATTCTCTCACAGTGGCGTAGGCAGGGGGGAGGTTAGAGGGGGCTCATAACCCCCCCCCCCCACCATAGACCCCTCGGTATATATATAAAAAGTATGAGGGGGGTGCAAATCGAAAGTTTGACGGGAGGGGGTGCAAATCGAAAGTTTGTCCCCTGGTAAAAATTGGATCCCCCCCCCCTTGAGACGATCCTGGATACGCCACTGTTCTCTCACAATGTTGGTCTTGGTTCTCTTTAAACAATCTTTACTGTACTTGTTTTGCCTTCCCCTTCTCAGCTATCCTGTCACAGTGCCAATCTTTGTTCATTTGGATTGGCCGTAGTTTTGTGTGACATGCCTATACCATCTCTCTTGTTTTAACCATGCCCAATAGACTCTAAACGGGGCTTATCGTTGAAAGTGATCAAATAAATGACTTCAACATTAGTTATGTGATGTATGTATGAGATACATTGATCTCTGAGTAGACAACTCATTTCCATGTGTCTGTTTTCATAGTTATTAAGAACTAGGTATTAATTACATCAGAGGCGTAGCGACATTTCCCGGCGCCCGGGGACAAACTTTCTATTTGCACCCCCCCCCCCCTTCCAAACTTTCGATTTGCAACCCCCCCCCCCCTCGAACTTTGGATTTGCACCCCCCCCCCCTCGAACTTTTCATTTGCAACCCCCCTCAAACTTTCATTTTAGCGCCCCCCCCTGAGGTCGGCGCCCGGGGACATATGTCACCCCCCCCCCCTCGCTACGCCTCTGAATTACATTTGTCTAAGAAGATGTTCAAAATACCTGAAGCCTGTGACCTAGAAGCGCCTGTCCTTAGAATACAGTCACCGGTGACGGGGGTGACACAACCTCAAGCTGCCGACGGTCTGGTAAAGACAGTCTTTGCTGCACTGTCGCAAACATTTGAAGCCGAACGTAGTGTTACTGCACTCTATGGAGTAGCAGAGGTATTCTATGAATCAAGATATAAGGGCTAAAGTCGATCTATAACTCAAGATATAAGGGCTAAAGTCGATCTATGACTCAGATATAAGGGCTAAAGTCGATCTATGACTCAAGATATAAGGGCTAAAGTCGATCTATGACTCATGATATAAGGGCTAAAGTCGATCTATGACTCAAGATGTAAGGGCTAAAGTCGATCTATGACTCAGATATAAGGGCTAAAGTCGATCTATGACTCATGATATAAGGGCTAAAGTCGATCTATAACTCAAGATATAAGGGCTAAAGTCGATCTATGACTCAAGATATAAGGGCTAAAGTCGATCTATGACTCAAGATATAAGGGCGAAAGTCGATCTATAACTCAAGATATAAGGGCTAAAGTCGATCTATGACTCAAGATATAAGAGCTAAAGTCGATCTATGACTCAAGATATAAGGGCTAAAGTCGATCTATAACTCAAGATATAAGGGATGAAGTCGATCTATAACTCAAGATATAAGGGATGAAGTCGATCTATAACTCACTTTCTTAAGTTTAAAGCGTATCTGTAGCTCGGGTAATTAAAACAAAATTAGCTGTTTAACTCAGTTTCTGAGTTTTTAAAGAGGTTTTATAACACGCGTTGGCTGTGGAATACCAAAGGATAGAGTGACTTTATAACACTCGTTGTCTGTGGTATACAAAAAGATAAAGTGACTTTATAACACGCGTTGGCTGTGGTATACCAGAGTATAAAGTGGTTTTATAACAAGCCCTAATTGTTACAGTGGTTAACTCAGAGTGTTTGGAACTATAAGCTGACGTGCATGTACTTCACGAAATAAAATGTACTTTAAAATTTCTTCTTAATGATCCCAATTGATTTTGTGTAGGGAACTATGCCCCTAATTTTTCTCAACTTGAAACATTTTTTATTTCGGTGTTTAAGCATCACTAATTGTTGAGCAAATTTCGGCTTAATAAAAAAAAAAAAACTTTACAGATACAAAGATACAAAGTTTATGAAAGTAATAAAATGCTAATTTCAATTTACATTCAATTAATGTTAGAGACAGTGAGAAATAAATATATGGGTATAAGCCGATGGATGCAGTAAAATCATTGCAGGATAAGTTCAGTATTAATCAATAAAGTTTCAAGTAGAAAATATGCTTGATACTCGAAAGAGTTTACCCAAATGCAATAAATAAGGCATTGCTGAATAGTCAAAATATGGAATGTATATATATATATATATATATATAATATATATATAATATATATATATATATATATATATATATATATATATATATATATATATATATATATATATATATATATATATATATATATATATATATATACAATTAGTTGAATTCTAGCAGATGTTTTAAACAGTACACTTGAAAAGCATATAGGTTTGGTCCTATAAGACATCCCATACTTTTAGCGACTTATAAAATATTGTCTGTACAAAGTCCTTCTGTGTTGGAAACCGAACACAGTTTAGAGAAAGTAATTGCCGCTTGAGCTTAGTGCGGACCTCGCTCGCGTCAAATGCAACATGTATCCCAAAATGTTACCAATAGCAGTTTTCAATAAAAATGAACGATTTATCGTTAATCCTGCAATACGAAAAAAAAATTACCATTTTCACAGAAGTCTCCGATTCTCCCTGGAAGACAGATACATTTTCCGGTTTCCGTGTCGCAATTGTTTGGTCCGCACTCAAGCGTGCATCTGTCACTCGTTTGGTTACCGCCCCCATCTATTTGTGTAAGACAATAAAGGTGTTTCATAAAACATGCTCAAAGATACACACAAACGCATACACAATAAATTACACACATATTATTCTATATGCATATATTCATATTGTCTTACATCAAAATAATATGTATCGATATAATGTATATCTATATCAAATATATTATCTACATCTACATCTACATCTACATCTACATCTACATCTACATCTACATCTACATCTACATCTACATCTTCATCTACATCTACATCTACATCTACATCTACATCTACATCTACATCTACATCTACATCTACATCTACATCTACATCTACATCTACATCTACATCTACATCTACATCTACATCTACATCTACATCTACATCTACACCTACATTTACACCTACACCTACACCTACACCTACACCTACACCTACACCTACACCTACACCTACACCTACACCTACACCTACACCTACACCTACACCTACACCTACACCTACACCTACACCTACACCTACACCTACACCTACACCTACACCTACACCTACACCTACACCTACACCTACACCTACACCTACACCTACACCTACACCTACACCTACACCTACACCTACACCTACACCTACACCTACACCTACACCTACATCTACATCTACATCTACATCTACATCTACATCTACATCTACATCTACGGACCTTGAGTGTGAAGCTCAACCTACCGTTGTCACAATTGTCTCCATAAAGCTCTGGCGGGCACATTAAACAAACCCCATCCGTTACGCTACACAGTTCGTCTATACAGTTACTGCTACACCTAGCCTCACAGTTCTGGCCGAAGTAATGAACATCACACTCTAGGAACGGAACAAACTTCAAGTTGTAGCTTTTAAAATATAACAAATATAAATTGTAACTGGTAAAGGATGTATAATATAAACTGGTTAGGGAGGATTAGGTTTTAAGATTACAGTAAATATTACAGTAAATATTAAAGTAAATATACGCAGGTAAAGTGTATTACAAACGGTATAAATGTTAGTCATTGAAGTTAGTTCGTTTTTTTGAAATATGTGTTTCTAAATTAGAACATTTATCTAAATGTAAGTCTTTTTTTTATGTAACCTTAACACTAAACATAATAGTTTTTCTAAGATATAATAATTTTTAATGGATATATATATATATATATATATATATATATATATATATATATATATATATATATATGATGACAGGACAAATAATCTCAGGACAATTGATCTCAGACAAAATATCTCGGACAACATATCTCACACCTTAATTTTAATAGTGTATTTGATAGTTGATCTGACATTTTTTTATAGACTTTCACACGGTTTTGTTTACTATGTTAAATATTGTTTATAGGCCTATTTACATTTGTCATATTGCACTAAAGATTTTAAAACTGAGATTAATAATATAGTATTCGAGGTTAACGAATGTTTTCAATAGACAGCGTAGGTAGGCTTGCCAAAAAATGAGACAATCCTACCATGAAATAACAATAAAGACACTCATTCGTATCAAGGTGGCCACCTGCTTTGATGGCAGAGACATGCCTTAAGGGAAAGACATCCGCCTTCCATTGACAATACAACAAGCATCTAAAGTCAATAGTTATGTGTCGGTCACACCTCAGTGATCAGATGACCAATGCTTATTTAAACGACAGCAGTCATCGCGGAGCTAAGTTTGTGTAGTGTGCATGCAAACAAAGCAGTATTAGTGATGATTAATCAGCTATGGCAGCTTTTGTAATCTGGTGAATTTAAAAGGGCCACAAGTGGAGCAGCAGCATTTGGAAATGTGCAGTTAGAAAATGTCGCGCAAGAGTTCACATAGTATTGGAGAGGTGTGATCATACCTGCCAGCAAAGAAACGTAAACGTTATGTTTGTGTTGGTGATCCAATAAAAAAAATAGTTTTACGTTATGAAAATGAAGACCTATTCACATTTTAAAAAAATATTTCGCGTGTTTTTGAACATTAATGTTGTATAGCTACCGTTACTTTATTTGTTTATTATACCTTTCAGGCTAAAGGAGTAATTTTGTTTTAATTTTTACTTTTTGAATCAAATGCTATTACAAAGGGTAAGTTTAATAAATCTTTTGATGCTTTGTTAAGCTTAACAAATTCACTGAATTCACAATTTTCTTCGTAAAAAAGTAAGCAAAACCATATTGACAGTCAATTAAAAAAAAAGTTCAATTCAACTAAAATCATCGTACGTAGGCCAACTACTAAACTTTTGCTGTGAGATATTTTGTCTGAGATATTTTGTCTGAGATCATTTGTCCATGATATATTTTGTCCTGGTATCTTTTGTCCGTGAGATCATTTGTCCTTGAGATCATTTGTCCTGAGATCATTTGTCCTGAGATAATTTGTCCGTGAGATGTTTTGTCTGAGAAATTTTGTCTGATATCATTTGTCCATGATATCATTTTGTCCTGATGTATTTTGTCCTGGTATCTTTTGTCCGTGAGATCATTAGTCCTTGAGATCATTTGTCCTGAGATCATTTGTCCTGAGATCATTTGTCCGTGAGATGTTTTGTCTGAGATATTTTGTCTGAGATCATTTGTCATGGAACCATATATATATATATATATATATATATATATATATATATATATATATATATATATATATATATATATATATATATATATATATATATATATATATATATATATATATATATATATATATATACAAAGATGTAAACATTGGGTGAATTTTAGTAGAACATAGACTTACAAGACAGCACACCTAACGTCTGAAGCTGGACCTACCCTTGTCGCAGAAGTCCCCTTGACGTCCAGGTGGGCAGCTTAAACAAACGCCATCCGTTATGCTACACAGTTGGTCTACACAATCCTGGCTACACACTGAATTACACTGCACGCCGTAGTAATGTTCTTCACACGCTGAAAACATACCAAAATTCAAACCGTCCTTTAAGAAATATATTATGTTCCAAACTATAGACATCTCAACTAAATTTTACCAACTTATTTTCGCTTGTCAAATGCTTGAAATCTTATTTAGTATTTGTAATAAACGTAGTGTTTCTTCCAGACTTTTTTCTCCGGGGGGGGGGGGGGGGGGAAACACTTGAAATTTTCGGGGGGGGGGGGGGCGGCCAATATTTTTCTGGGGGCGGACAATTAGTAAAAGTGTATGTATACTATATAAAATTAATCTCATTCGGGGAGGGGGGGAAGGGGCGGTAGACTTTCTTCTGGGGAGGCAGAGCCCCCCCCCCCCCCCCCCCTCCCCTCGAAGAGATGCCTGGAAGAAACTCTGAATAAACGTGAATCATTAGTCTTGGAAAAAAAACAGCTTCCACCTTAAATGTTCACATCAATACATGTAGCAGGATATCTGAATCAAATTAAAATCTGTCTAAATGACCCAAACTTGCTTTCGTGCCGTGAAACTGCGTATACGTTTAAGCTGTGAGAAGTAAATTTCAACATATAAGTAATTAAAAAAAAATGTCTGTGTTTCGGGCTAAAAAATGTTCTCCAGCTCCACGTTTTCTTTCTTCTTAAAACCTGTGTTGCTACTAATTAGGTGAAGTAGACTTACACTGAACAGTATCCAACCTACCCAGAGGCGTAGCGAGGGGGGGGGGGGGTGCGGACCGCACCGGGTGACACCATTTAGGGGGGGGGTGACACCAAGGCAAAAAATATTGAGAGAAAAATTTGAAGGGGGGGGGGGGGATGCAAATCGAAAGTTCGAGGGGGGTGCAAATCGAAAGCTCGAGGTGGGGTGCGAATCGAAAATTGAAAGTTTGTCTCCGGGAAGAGTCGCTACGCCTCTGAGGGGGGGGTGGGGGGGGGGGTCACACCATTAAGTGCCGCACCGGGTGACACCCGACCTCGCTACGCCACTGAACCTACCATGTTCACAGAATGCGCCGTATCGTCCTTCAGGGCACCGCACACATGTCCCGTCTAGATCGTCACATATTCTGTTCGTACAGTTCGTGCTACACGGCAGTTCGCAGCCCGGGCCGTAGGTATATATATCGCAGTCTGTGAAAGTAAACACATTCAGGTAATTGTTGTCCATGTGTGAATAGAAAAGTAGTATAATTCAATACATTACAATACTTGCTTGAGTACTAGTAAATGTGTAAAATAAAAACAAGTGTAAAAATTAATTTTGTAAAAACAAGCTTTTAATTGCAGTGAAAATAGGAAATAAAACTCATAAGTTACTAAAGCTTTTATAAATAAAAGAAATATAAGTTTTATTTTTCTTATTTTCATTGCCTTTAAAAGCTTGTTATTAAATGAACTGAAAATAAGAAAATAAAACTCATAAGCGACCATAGCTTTTATGAAGGAAATAAACATAATTTTTATTTTCTTATTTCCAGTGCATTCAGAAGATTGTTATCAGGAATTATTTTTTTTTAAATATTTTATAAATTTATAATTTTGTAATAATTCATCTTTTTTTTTAAAAATCGACACTACCGATGCGGCGACAAAAATGTCTGCATGAATTCACCATCAGTAACTCAGTGAGACCCTGGAGCTGGCTGCTGACTAATGAATCAAGTCATATTACTGAACCGCTGTGCAGGACGCCCAATCAACGGAAACCAAGAGCTAAGATAGCCATTCTGAAACTCTGTCGCCCAACTGTATAATGAGAAAATCACACCCTCCCTGGCGACGCCAATAAGATATTTTAATTTGTTTCTCCGCAGAAATATTTTCGGGAGTATTCTCCTCAACTGCCCGAAGCTTAATCACACTGAACGTTGTCAAAAACAACAGAATTTAATTTTGTGTATACCGTAAATAGAGAAAAATCGAAGCAAAAACTGGAGAGCCGCTCTTGCAAAATTGTTTTTTTTTTCTTTTAAAAAAAAACCTCCCCAGATGTATTCTCTACTACTTCCCAAAGTTTCACGCAATCGTATGAAAGATGTAGCAATGCATATAGGACAAATGAACAAACAAACCGACATACTTTCATTTATATAGAGAGAATCTATCGAGCGGTCGCTTGCATGTAATCTTGTTATACCCTTTTAATTTCGAAACCATTTAGTCAATTTTAAATGACTAATTTAACATCTCATTATTTTTTTTTAAATAAATAGCCTTGTATTGTCATCAATATCATCAAACTTTGAACGAAATCGCTACATTAAAAGTAGGTCAAAATTGAGTTTTAAGATCTGTGATAAACCTACAAATAGACGTTGTCTAATTAGTAAAAGCTTATAAAAACTAAAATAGTCAGGAGACCGCAATAGGTGTCTAAGTGCTAGTAAGCATGTCAATATGAAACTAGCTTATGTCAATATAAAACTAGCTTATGTCTATATAAAACTAGCTTATGTCGATATAAACCTAGCTTATGTCTATATAAAACTAGCTTATGTCGATATAAACCTAGCTTATGTCAATATAAAACTAGTATATATCAATATAAAACTAGCTTATTTCAATATAAAACTAGCTTATGTCAATATAAAACTAGCTTATGTCAATATAAAACTAGCTTATGTCAATATAAAACTAGCATATGTCAATATAAAACTAGCTTATGTCAATATAAAACTAGCTTATGTCAATATAAAACTAGCTTATGTCAATATAAAAATAGTTTATGTCAATATAACACTAGCTTATGTCGATATAAAACTAGCTTATGTCAATATAAAACTAGCTTATGTCAATATAAAACTAGCTTATGTCAATATAAAACTAGCTTATGTCAATATAAAACTAGCTTATGTCAATATAAAACTAGCTTATGTCAATATAAAACTAGCTTATGTCAATATAAAACTAGCTTATGTCAATATAAAACTAGCTTATGTCAATATAAAACTAGCTTATGTCAATATAAAACTAGCTTGTCAATATAAAACTAGCTTATGTTAATATAAAACTAGCTTATGTCAATATAAAACTAGCTTATGTCAGTATAAAACTAGCTTATGTCAATATAAAACTAGCTTATGTCAATATAAAACTAGCTTAAGTAAATATAAAACTAGCTTATGTCAATATAAAACTAGCTTGTGTCAATATAAAACTAGCTTATGTCAATATAAAGCTAGCTTATGTCAATATAAAACTAGCTTATGTCGATATAAAACTAGTTTATGTCAATATAAAACTAGCTTATGTCATTATAAAATTAGCTTATGTCGATATAAAACTAGCTTATGTCAATATAAAACTAGCTTATGTCAATATAAAACTAGCTTATGTCAATATAAAACTAGCTTATGTCAATATAAAACTAGCTTATGTCAATATAAAACTAGCTTATGTCAATATAAAAATAGCTTATGTCGATATAAAACTAGCTTATGTCAATATAAAACTAGCTTATGTCAATATAAAACTAGCTTATGTCAATATAAAACTAGCTTATGTCAATATAAAACTAGCTTATGTCAATATAAAACTTGCTTATGTCAATATAAAACTAGCTTATGTCAATATAAAACTAGCTTATGTCAATATAAAACAAGCTTATGTCAATATAAAACTTGCTTACGTCAATATAAAACTAGCTTATGTCAATATAACACTTGCTTAAGTCAATATAAAACTAGCTTATGTCAATATAAAACTAGCTTATGTCAATATAAAACTAGCTTATGTCAATATAAAACTAGCTTATGTCAATATAAAACTAGCTTATGTCAATATAAAACTAGCTTATGTCAATATAAAACTAGCTTATGTCAATATAAAACTAGCTTATGTCAGTATAAAACTAGCTTATGTTAATATAAAACTAGCTTATGTCAATATAAAACTAGCTTATGTCAATATAAAACTAGCTTATATCAATATAAAACTAGCTTGTGTCAATATAAAACTAGCTTATGTCAATTTAAAACTAGCTTATGTCAATATAAAACTAGCTTATGTCAATATAAAACTAGCTTATGTCAATATAAAACTAGCTTATGTCAATTTAAAACTAGCTTATGTTAATATAAAAATAGCTTATGTCAATATAAAACTAGCTTATGTCAATATAAAACTAGCTTATGTCAATATAAAACTAGCTTATGTCAATATAAAACTAGCTTATGTCAATATAAAACTAGATTATGTCAAAACTAGATTACCTTGATCGCAAAAGTCTCCCTTCATACCGGCTGGACATGTAGGACACCTGCCTGTGGCGCCGTCACAATCGTTACATTTGCTGCTACAGTTCATTGAACAATCAAGGCCGTAGGTTCCCGTTGCGCACCCTAAAATCAGGTTTAATCAACATTTAAATGTCCGGGCTTTAATTTCCTGACTTGGATTTTAAACATAAATCTTGCCAGACAGTCTTGAGACACGTTTGAACACATTTTAAGACAGTCAAAAAAAGATTTTAAAATCTTAAAACAGTTAAAATATGTTAAAATGAGCTTGAAGCAATTTGTAAAGTATGTTTGTAAAGTCTCAAAAGTAAAAACATAAGTTTTTACAGTCTTGTGGAAGTCTTAGTATATATTCATGAATTTGTAGCAATTTTTACAAAAAAATACTATAAATTTTTGAGAAAGTTAAAAATAATAGATTTATAAAAGCTAGAACTAACTTAAAACAAATATTTTTCAAAATTTTGAGAATTTAATTTATTTAAAAACCATTTTAAAATAATTTCTTTAAACCCGAAAACTAATATTGCAGCGCGTGATCACCCAAACTTCCAATATGTCTTCATAAAATCCTTATTCGAACCAAAATTTATTTTCAAAACTCTATTTTTGTTTGACCATATAAACATAACATCATTATCGTTAGGCATGCATTCTTCTTTAGCATTTATATCGTGCTTTCATTTAATTACATAAGAACAAATTATGCTATATATATATATATATATATATATATATATATATATATATATATATATATATATATATATATATATATATAAGAACATAAATAAGAACAAATTATGCTATATATGATTATATCATTTATATATATATATATATATATATATATATATATATATATATATATATATATATATATATATATATATATATATATATATATATAAGTATTATTTAAATTATTGCATGCAATAAACTTAATATAATTAGTTCCGTTTAATTATTATATATTGATACGTTTCAAGGCCCAAGTAAGCACATATGAATATTAAATAAATAATTTTACTTTAAAAAGAAAAGTAACATGTAAGTATAAAACAGCAAAACTAACATATTCTGATCATAAAACTATTGGTGGACGTTTGCATACAATCTAATTGCGTCTTACGTATTTACAACTTGATAATTGTTTTGTTCGAGTATGTATAGTGCTTGAAGATTATGAACCAAAATAACAAAGAACTTGTTGCTGATGTTCAAAGATTCACACATACCCACGATATACGTAGGTAAAATGTTGGGAAGCCTCTGGTATCTTGTTATAAAATCTGAAACGTTGGACGATAAATTCATGTACACAAATTATAACAAATTATAACACCGTAACTTGTTATAAAGTAAGTTTTATCCTTGACCTCAGTGAACATACAGATAATATCAGAATTCAAAAACTACTTACCGGATTTACATCCAAAGCTTACAAGAGGATTACATATATAACCACACACCTCAGCAATTTCACAATCTTTGTTCTCCTTCCGGCACGTGCAGTTAATCTCACACTCCAGTCCATGATACAAGCTTGGACACACAAAATCTATCATGGGAACAAGCGATCACACAAATACTATCATGGGAGACAAGCGATTACACAATATCTATTATGGGAGACAAGCGATTACACGAAATCTATAATGTAAATGTTTCCAATTTTAATATGAATAAGTCTCAATAAAATGACTCTCTGTAAATTTAATGTTATCCTGTCAACTGACCTTCAATTGTCAATACTCCATATTCACAGCGCGACGGACATATATATATATATATATATATATATATATATATATATATATATATATATATATATATATATATATATATATATATCAGTCGAACCAGACTCTGTAAGTATGTATATCTGTATGTCGTGCTGTTTTATAGTTATATCACATGTGTTTAAGTTATTATGTATTGTGATTCTTTTATTGTTGTGCTCTTTATTTACTCAGTTGAGAATATTATTGAGTTGTGTTCATGCTGTGTTTCATGTCTTGATTGTATAGTGAGTAATGTTATTTGTTTTTTCGTGTTCGTTTATGTAGTATTTTTCTCGAATTTTGTTTATGCTTTAATTTATTATTTTATTTTAGCATTATTAAACATTTCTATTGAAGGGTTCAAAATCTTCTGACCCTTTGAAGGGCTCAATGGAAAAAAAAGTACTTAAGTGTAATTTTATAGATTTGTGAAAAATGAGTTCATTTTTTTTTTTTAAATATGATGTTGAAATATATAGTATTCCCCACACAGTTTTATGAAACTAAACGACTTGGTAATTTTCTTCTGGTCCCTAATTTCCAAAGATAGTTTAAGGGATGTAATCACATAGTATGCATGTCTTCACTTATTTTTAAAAAAAATCTACCATAAGTAAATTTTTGCACATCATAGTGTTGACAATAATCGTACTCAACACAATCATCAGACAAGACACAGTTGTCTACTCGCCTCCAATAACCTCCACTTCACAAAAGTTAATCTTCAATTCATCGACAATACGGATCTCCAAATCAGTAACCGGTGGTCGGAATTCGAGGGGATCCGACACGTACACTCCATCAGTTGCTGTGAAACGGCTTCCGTCATATTTTTCCCAGTCCGAATCTTCAGCCACCTTATAGTATATTTCAATCGTTGGAAAATCGGTTCCTACGAGAATTAAAACCAAACCTACAATATTACCAAGTTGTGCAGAGGATGAGATTGCCTATTAGGGGTCATCCATAAATGTCGTCACGCTTTTTTTTTGACGATTTTTACCTTCCGTCACATGTCGTCACAAAAAGCCAGACCCCCCCCCCCCCCTTAAAATGACGTCCCATCTCAACCTACAACCTCCCTCAAAATTGCAGTTGAATTTTTTTTTAACATCGATATTTTTCCAAAATCTTGTCTAAACTATTACAATTTATTAAAACAGTTATCTAAAACGCGAAATAACGTCTAAAATTCGTTTTCTATCATTGCTTTTTTATAATGCAAAAGTGTGACGTCGCACTATCTGACCCCCCCCCCCCCCATCTCCCCCTCCTCTCACATCGTCACAAAATTACGGACCCCCCTCCCCCCTACGAGTGTGACGTAATTTATGGATGACCCCCTTATTCAAGAGTTATCTAATTTGAATCGATGTGTATTGTTAAGCCATGTAACAGAGAAGAGATATCTAACCAAGTTTCCTGGGAATTAACGTTTTTGATATATGACTTAATTAATCATTTTACTGCAGAGCACGATTTTTTGTGTACAGGAAGAGACGCCTACTCTTTATCGCTGTATATGATAAACTTATTTCTATAGAAGGGTAGCTATATATTTTTCTTGTAAAAGACAATGTGTTGTACACAAATATAATGGTTATCTCACCTTTGGTGCTGTGTATGATGATATTATTTACAGAGGAGGAATAAGGAAACACAACCCTCCAGCTACTAGAGTTCAAACAATTGGAGTTGCCTGTATCCCCATCCACGGTGATAGCGTCTGTTGCCTGCTGTTTTAGAGCCAGGTTTCTGCCTATGGTCAGAACATATGGAATTAACAAGTTCTAGAAGTTAGGCGGTGATGGAACAGAGGTTCAAGTTTTAAGATAACTGTAATTTTTTTTAAACAAATTTTATTCTGACCAATTTACAAAAAAAAAAACAGCACTTAAAAAACATTTTAAAAGAACCAAATTTCAAGTAAAATGATTTAAATTAATATGAAAACTTAATATCAGAGGCGTAGCGACCCTTCCCGGCGCCCGGGGACAAACGTTCAATTTGACGCCCCCCTCGGGAGCAAATTTTCAATTTGCACCCCCCCCCCCCCATCAAACTTTTGATTTGCACCCCCCCCCTCAAACTATTTATAATGAAAAAACGCAGCTAAAATGATACTTTAATTTGTTTTTACAACCCATTTTGGCGCCCCCTAAGGTCGGCGCCCGGGGACATATGTACCCCCCTGCCCCCCCCCCTCCCCCCATCGCTACGCCTCTGCTTAATATCATAGCTGAATGTAATATCTAAACAACTTTCGTCGTAAATAAAGCAAATAAAAAATCCCTGTCAAATAGAGGTCAGACGGTTGTGAGGATAATTCTTGACATACAAGAATTACATGAGCATAGCACCACATAAATTACTCAGTAAGTAAGTACTCATTAGATCTCTTATGTAACAAAAACTTCTTTGTAAAAGTTTACTTGTTTCTCAGCGAAGATTTCAAGTAACATAAAACAATGTTTAATTGAATACAGTTTACTATAGTTTTACAGATCTAACAAACTAATCATGAAGTTAGTAAAAGAAAATACCGTCATGTCTTAGTAATTACCATGGTATATATATATATATATATATATATATATATATATATATATATATATATATATATATATATATATATATATATTAATATATATATATATATTAATATATATATATATATATATATATATATATATATATATATATATATATATATATATATATATATATATATATATATATATATATATATATATATATATATATATATATATTAACTTCTAATCAACCAAAAATTTTAATTTTGTACAAAGCACTTGTGACTGACCTCGACTCATATACATCTTGCAGATTTTAGCTGATCCGAAGTTAGAAAAAATAAACAGATCTCGTATACTGAGGTATGGTTGGCAGTAGTAGTCAAAGGTTTTAGAGTCCACGAACGTAATGTAATATTTTTTGCAATCCATGAATTGTGTCATCGTGTGGTCACGAAAAAAGATGCTCACAAAACTCGGAACAAAATCTGAATAGAATAAAAAACATTGTATATTTTTTTTTGTTCTGGGTGGCTGGTTGGAAGATTCATGTTTTCCCGTCATCATTACCCAACACAAAGAAAAAGAAAAAAAATATCTTAAAGTGTTTTTTTAAAAAGATTTCAATAACAATATGTATATATATATATATATATATATATATGTATATATATATGTATATATATATGTATGTATATATATATATATATATATATATATATATATATATATATATATATATATATATATATATATATATATATATATATATATATATGAGATAATAGTTCAATCGTTCCGCAACACAACTCGTATGTTCATTCAATTTGTTTTTATTTCAAATTAATTTCTCCATTACATGGCAAAAGACTGTTCCATCCCCAAAAAGATGACACCCAAAATGACACTCCAGTTGTTACATGTTTGTTAATATAAAAAGTGCATGTATACAATAACAATAACAAAGAACTCAACTGGTTTGAACGTGTATGTACCTTTAGACTATGATAGACGCTGGTGGGGATGTTGGACAGTGTAGGAACATTAACCTACACAAGGGAAACTACTCCCGTACAATCCCCTTGACTATTGACTTTCGAAGCAAAATACACCCCGCTTAATTAAAACATGTTTTTTATCCAAACGAAAGACAAATTTACTATTATGAATAAAACGGCAACGTTTAATTACCTTCAACGTAAAAGCACATAAAGAAGTTAATAATTTCAAACTTTCTTTAAATTACCTTCAAAAGTGAATCGGGCCCACGTAAAGTAAGACATGTCAAATTGGGTGAGTTTTTTCTGATTAAAATTACATGCCCCATCATCGTTATATGTGTTTTGGTCTAGTGGCCGGTAGTAATCCACTGTTAAACATTATTAATGATTGTATACATGTAAAAATCGTTTAATGAACAAATAATAATACTTTTTAAAAACATTTTTTTAACTAAACGGGTACCTCACTATTATGGGGATATGCGCCGTTTATGTTTTATTTTTTTACAATTTAAGATATAAAGCCTTTTGAATACTATTACCATGTTTGGCACATGAAAGTAAGTACTAAACAACAAAAAAAAAAAGGTTGAATACATTTTTGGTTGTCATGGAAACCCAAAAAAAAAATCTCCGACATTTTGAATTTTTCAGCACTTTTTACAAATGCTAAGACTTTTTTATTTATTCACTTATAGCAATCAAATGTAAACTTCTTATATTTCAGTATAGTTTAAATCTTTTGTCACGACAACTTTTTGAAATAGCTACTAGTAGGAATTTTACAAGGTCTGAAAAAGTATACAATGTTTTTTAATTGTGCATATTATTACCAAATACTTTTTACCTTGAAAGCCATCATAATTCCCTCGTGACAAAAGTTGTATTTTTGTATTAAAACAGTTACTAAAAATATGGTGGGCATTGTTTAATAAAAAAAAGTAATAGGCTTTTTAGTGTTATAAACCTGCGAACTGAGAAAAACAGCCAAAAGTAATGAAAAGCACGTCACGAAAATACCATATATGTGTAAACTGCAAAGCCGATTGTAAGCTTTGGGTGTTTTCGAGATGATGGAAATTAAGATTATCAAATAAAGGAGAAATCCAGCTTTACATTGATGCCAAATACAATATGATGACGGATATAAAACTTCATAGAAAAATTGATTATTTTTAATTGATAATGCCATAAAAAAGGTATGTTCATCACCTAAAAAAAATGTTACTCATTAAAATAATTATTTTCTTAATACACAAATGGACAAAGTATCCAAAAGTGTAAGAAACCCATCATGACGAAAAACAAGAAATTTTGTGGGGGTTTTTTCACGGCGCATATCCCATTATACATTGTTTAGTTTCTTGATTTGATTGTAAGGTAATGCAGAATTTAAATATAAATAAATTACTGACTATTCCTTAACTAAATTAAGATTTCCCAATATTTGCTTTTTAAAGACAAATTATTTTAAGAGCAGAATAATCGTGACGACGATATTCAACAATAGACGTTATATCATTTCAAACTGTCAATTCTACTTGAATCTACTTTACCATACTGGCACTTTTCGCCAAAGTAGCCGTCATCACATCCGTTTGGACATAAGCCTTTAGCGTCGCACTGCGTGTTCGTCTTGCAGTGGCATTTGAACTGGCACATGGATCCGAACCAACCGCTTTCACAACCTGTGGGGAGGGGGGGGGGTTCGACTTAAGATGTGTAGCAACTGTGTTATGAATTATAGTTTTAAATTAAATCAGATGTATATTGGCTAATGACGTTGCCCTTAAAACAATTAGCCTTTTTTTTTTTTTTTTTTTTTATAGAAATCGATACGTAAATACAAATATTTCATATTCAAAATACTTGTTTTTATGTATGATATGATGCTATTTAAGACCTATCTGTTGATCAGTATCGTCATACTAGACGTGACATCACATCGACCAAAAGGTTTCACAAAGATATTTGTTTATACAATTGACCTGCGTAAACGTTCTTACACATTTGCACATTCAAATAAAATGGTATTCCATCCTGTATTTAGGATTCCTTACACTGTGTAAACGTTCTTACACATTTGCACATTCAAATGAAATGGTATTCCATCCTGTATTTAGGATTACTTAGACTGTGTATATTTATTCAACTTACCTAGAGCCGACACCCGTAACGAAATTCCTACAAAGATTGTAAGTTTGACAATATCGAATATCATTTGTGTCGATTTGGAACCCAATCTGAAAGTTTAAATTAAATAAAGCATATCGTATGTAAAGTTCCATTTTCGAACCTTACGGTCCTGTTAAGTGAACTAGAGTTCACCAATTTCTGTGACCTCAACATATATTAGTGGCCAGCACCATGCCCAGCCGCTTCTGTTCCCTAATTCGATACATGTGCCCATCAGAATTTCGTGGACGTTTTATTGAGTAGAACCTGGATTCGAATCTGAGACTTACGGCCGGCGCAATATTGTATGAAGCTACAAATAAAAAGAAAACATTAAATATCCTTAATTTGTCAATTTCAAGTATTTTTGTTTTTTATTAATTTTAAACATTCTAAAAACAATGTTCATTTTAACAATATGAATCTGCAAATGAGATCCTCAGGCAGATTTCTAAGATTTCATACACAGGTAACATTATAATTGCAGAGGTCCGTAAAAAGACCATTTGATAACCTACTAATTAGAGGCTTAACAAAGAAATTGATATTGTACGGGCATAACAAATGAATTGATATTGTACCGGCATAACAAAAAAACTGATATTGTATGGGCATAACAAACAAATTGATATTGTACGGGCATAACAAACAAATTGATATTGTACGGGCATAACAAACAAATTGATATTTTACGGGCATAACAAAGAAACTGATATTATACGGGCATAAAAAAGAAACTGATATTGTACGGGCATAACAAATATATTGATATTGTAGTAGAGCAGAGGACTACGATAGATGGCAGAAAGTTGTGAGAACATCAAGTGTGGGGCCCAAACGATCAGGAGTGTTATAAGACGATTGATTGATTGATTGATTGATTGATTGATTGATTGATTGATTGATTGATTGATTGATTGATTGATTGATTGATTGATTGATTGATTGATTGATTGATTGATTGATTGATTGATTGATTGATTGATTGATTGATTGATTGATTGATTCATTCATTCATTCATTCATTCATTCATTCATTCATTCATTCATTCATTCATTCATTAAATATTCAATGCGATCGTGGTATTAAACAGGACTAAAATCGTGGTATTAAACAGGACTAGTACAAGCTTTACAGTTGTAAACAATGAATACATTTTCTAATTAACAGACGAATAGATTTTCCGAATGTATAGGTCAAAGTATTACAATTATTTTAAACAAGTATTTGCACTGGGCAGTCGGATTGTACCTGTAAATGTATAACGAATTCCAATATCGATAATTTTGAAAAAGTATGTTATCCGGGCAATCGGATTGTACAGACACGATTGCTAAGAATATGGATCAGGACTCAGGTAAAGACCGACCCTGTGTCAACCCAGCTCTGATGAGTACCTGACTCAAGTAAAAGCAGCTTGGCATAGTGCTAACAGCACCAACACATTAAATGCCGAAGTCGCAAAAAAACAACCATGCATCACCTGGTCTGATAGGGTAACTAAGGAAGGCGTGTTGATAGAAAAGTATTACTAATCTAGATCTAGATCTAAATCTAGTCTATAATCTATACAACTATGAGATTTATTTGTAAGTAATCAAAAATAAATCATGTTGCGGATTTTAAACTTATTAAATTTTACTTACTAAATGGGCGAAATTAAGCACAGTGCTCTGCTTATTTTTTCGTAGGAAACATTTAAATGTTTCCACACACTTATATCCATAGCAAGAGAAGCAATCAGTTTCTTCAAATAGATTCTAATCATTACAAATGTACACTACAGCCATGTTTGTTGTGTTGTGTTCTACTTTACTGCGTCATTAATTTCTGAGACATTTGGTTTCGAGATTATAGTTACATTAATGTAAATAACCCTAAAATAGGTGGAAAAAAAAGATACTTTAATTTTTTAACACCTTCATATGCCGAGGTCACAGAAACAAGTGTACTCTACTTCACTTGCCTCTATAGACCGTCAGGTTTGAAAAGGGATCTAAAGGCAGCGTCGAAATTAACACTTTAACAGAGCTTGAGATGGGGTGAGGGGATGTTGAATGAACATTTAGTGGACCCTACATCCAGGGGCGTAACGAGGGGGGGGGGGGGTGCGGACCGCACCGGGTGACACCATTGGGGGGGGGGGTGACACCAAGGCAAGAAATAACAAAATACATAGAGAAAAACTTGAGGGGGTGGAGGGTGCAAATCGAAAGTGCAAATCGAAAACTTGAGGTGGGGGTGCAAATCGAAAGTTTGAGCTGCGGGGGGGGGGGGGGGGTGCAAATCGAAAACTTGGGAAGGGTCGCTACGCCTCTGGGGGGTGACACCATTAAGTGCCGCATCGGGTAACACCCGACCTCGCTACGCCACTGCCTACATCCCATTATAACACATTTTATTTTTATATTCCAAAATACTTTACTTCGTACACTTTGATAGAGGTTCTATAAAAAAAAAACACCTGATATCCTACAGCATAGATTGTTTTAAAGTAGGCTCCATCTACCATATTCTTTTACGTAGATATTTTCTTTATAATTTACACGAACTGCTATGTGAAAGACGGACAAACGATCAAAACACTTCATTACATATTTCGCTACAAATTCCAGCTTTTTATAAAACTCAGAACACTTGTAAATAAAAACTTAAAGCATTTTTAGCATTTGTTTCAGCATTTTTAGTGTAAAGATAACATCTAAAACTAGAAGTTATCAAAAAAGGTATTGATTTTTGAGTATATATATTATATACATATATATATATATATATATATATATATATATATATATATATATATATATATATATATATATATATATATATATATTTCAGCACCAGGATTTAACGCATTTTGTTTTTGTAGCGTGTGTTAAGGCTTCGTAATTTCTAAGGACAACCATGTTTTCAATGTCGATTACCTCCCCTGGGATCTGGTATCCGTCACCGGGTCTATAAAAGGCCAACAGCTCATAGATTAACCACATTTCTTATACGCTCTCTTGTTTTAGGTTCATTAGACAATTTGGAAAATGTTTTGGTGAAATTTATTCAACATAAAAAAATTCCACGATTTAAATAATTTTTGTCAACTTAAAAAAAAATGAAGACTGAAAACGTTTTCTGGTCTGGATCTAAATATAATATAAATTTAATTAAATGTCGTGGAATGTTTGAAGTGTACTTGGTAACTTTTGCATTTATTTGTGTTCAATGTGTTAAAATTTAACGATAATATATTATGTATTAACAATGTTGATCTTGAATTCTAGGAATCACAACTATATCTAGAAGTTAATTTTTTTTTACTCTGAACGGACATCAGCGTGCTTACAAGGACCCTTCCTTTGCTGTTGATGAAATGGTTAAATCTTGTTTTTGTCCAAAATAGTTTTAGTGCGGAAATAAAAAAAAAAATAAATTAAGCTCCAAAAAATTTCAAAATGTTTTAAATTTTCAATTCTAGAGAACAATCAAATAATGTATGGGTTTGAGATTACATTTAACACTACAATTCAATTTATTTTCTATTTATTTTAACCCTGAAGTTTTAGTTTACTAAAACAAGCATTGATTTGATGTGAAGAAACTGTTAGTAGTGCTGATACATGGGCAAGATCTGGCTCCTTTCCAACATACTGCCTTGGCGTTGCACCTTGATTTCCAAGACGCCATCCTTAAATCTTCTCTCAGAATATAAAGCAAAATATATATATTATCTATTCAGTAAACACCGTTTTCTTACATGTAGTCAGGTTTGGTTATCGGGTTTTGGTTGATGTTGTATAAAAACTTAAAAACAATTGTCGGACATTAGTTGTACATGCATACAAGAAGTAATTGGCTATAAATGAAATGTTGGCAACACGCCATTAAGATAAATGTTCAAATTGGTCATGCATGTAAAGAAATATTTACGCAGTATTGTTTTGTAATTTAGTGGGTTGTTTTTACTTAGATTTATTTCTTTGATTATTGACGTTTAACATTGATGGAAACATTTGAAAAGTTAAACATAAATGTAACTGGATACATTTGTCAATTGACAACAAGTGATGATTGATAATAAACATACATCAGATATTTACTTCAGGGGTTGGGAGCGGGCACTTGAAAGTGTTTTGAAGAGTGTGGTTACTAGGTAAACGGTATAGTCACTGTATCATTTGGTTATTTTTGTTGTCTTGATGGGGTGGTGTACGTGTCCCATTGGCTGGGAGTGGAGTGCTGTGTTTCAGGTGGGGTGGGGGGAGCTGTTTGACGCTATGACAAGAAATACTTGTGCGTAATGTCCAAAAAATGTTCACGTTCAATTATTACACTCTACTTCACCAGGTAAACACTCTATAGAAAAGCAATTCTTAAATTTAATAACAAAATTTGCACCACTAGGTAACAATGTAATTATATTATAACTGAAATAAAAAAAAAAACACAAATTGACTTTAAGAAATAAAATAATCCAATTTTAATTAGATCTAGTATGTTAGGCAAATATATTACAACTTGAAAATTTTTAATAGAGGTAAAACAAAATACTCAATATTGAGGGGGAAAATTATAATACAAAGAACAGCTTAGTTTTAAAAAATGAAATAAATAGGGTTCTAATTAAATAAAAAGTGTTAATTCGCACATTATTTAAAACTTTCCGCCAATAGATTCAATGACTGCGCATGTTAATCTCTGTGTAACAGCATTTGTGAAGACTACGAGTTTTTGCGTTTCATTATTGATGCAAATGGTCATCAAAATTCAGACAGTAGAGCTGTATTCCTTACGGTACCTCGCTGTGCTTATCACTGCTTCAGTGTGAAGTTTCATTGCTTCATATAAAGCTACATACTGTTGCTGTGGAGAAAAGGTACACACAATACATATATATATCTATATATATATATATATATATATATATATATATATATATATATATATATATATATATGTATATTTATATATATGTATATATATATATATATATATATATATATATATATATATATATATATATATATATATATATATATATATACATACATATATATATATATATATATATATACATATATATATATATATATATATATATATATATATATATATATATATATATAATATTGTTTGCCTTTCCTAAAATAATATTACTTTTTTTGGAACACGTGGATATAAAAATTAGTATTCTAAAACTCAGAAGATGGTTGGAGAACGCCTTTTTTAAACTCATTATTTGGATAATAGAATTTTAAAAATGATAAACTTTCGACTTACAAGTGTTGGAATGACTTGAGGTCTAACTGATTTCACTCGGCCTACAACAACAGGAACCGCCATATAGTCGTCTTGGTCCAGTCGGTCTATCAGGGTTGTCAAGACGTAGGCAAAGCCACTCAACTCGGCGCCATTTCTAAAGTAGACATTTTTAAACACAAACATGAGAAAATGATAAAATCCTGTGTTAAATAAAACTATCTACAGTAGTTATAAATGGGTCTACGACAAATTCCCGAAAGACACTTGCCCGATGGCCAATGCCCCGAATGGAAACTTGTCCGAATTCGACAAATGCCCGAAGGGACACTTGCCCGAATGCCGTTTGCCCGAAGGCCGATTTCCCGAATCGACACTTATCCGAATTCGACAAATGCCCGAATGGACACTTGCACGAATGCGACAAATGCCCAAATGGACGCTTGTCCGAATGCGACAAATGCACGAATGCGACAAATGCCCAAATGGACGCTTGTCCGAATGCGACAAATTTTTGAAATTTAACTCGTGCATTTGTCGCATTGGGGCAAATGTTCATTCGAGAAATCGGCCTTCGGGCAAAAAGCATTCGGTCTTTCGGGAAAACGTCCGTCTCC